CCTGTGCCCCGCAGCGGGAGAGGCCACAACAGTGAGAGGCCCGCTTACCGCAAAAAAGGAAAAAAAAAAAAAAACATGCAAGATATTTTACTTTGTTTCCAGCTTCCTTTGTTTAATGTCTTAGGTGTGTGATTCATGCATACTGTTGTGTGTAGCAGCAGCCTGTTCATGGACCTGTAGCATTCTATTGTATGAATATATGACAATATATTTATCTGTTCAACTGTTGATGGATGCTTGGGTTGTATCCAGTTTGGAGCTATCCAAAGCAGCTATGAACATTCTTGTGGATATATTTGGTCCACATGTGCATGTTTTTCTGTTGGGTCAAGTGTATGCACATGTTCAACTTTAGGAAATAATGCCCGTTTTTCAAGTACTTATACTAATTTACACTTTGAGCAGCTATATATGAGTTCTGGATGCTCACCAACACACAACTTTGTCAGTCTGTGCTGGATAACAAACCATCCCCAAATCTGAAACAGGAATCGTCTTTCACAATTCTGTGGGTTCACAATTTATCTGGGCAGTTCCACTTGCTGTTGTAGGCTGGGGTCATTCGTTTGGTTGCATTTACCTGAGAGCTCAGCTGGAACTGGAATACCCGAGATGGCTTCATTCACACATCTGGTGCTCTGACTGGGGTGGCTGAAATAGTTGGGGGCTGGTTCAACCTCTGTCTTTCCATGTGGTCTCACCTCACTCAGTAATCTAGCCCGAGCTTATTTACCCGGCAACTAGATCTCAAGAGTGCAGAAAGAGAAACTGCAAGTCTCAAAGCCCAGGACCAGAAGTCATATATCATCACTTCCATAGCATCCTATTGGTTATAACAAGGCAGTGCTAATGCAGATTTGTCGGGAGGAAGGGCAATAAGACTCCACTTCTTGATGGGAGAACTGGATGGGAGCAATCATTCCTGGCCACATGTACAGACAATATACCACGTTGCATCCTCTGGTCACAACAATTCACATGCCTTTCACAAGCAGAATGCATTTACCCCATCCCAAGACACCCAACGTCTCATCCAATTATGGTATCAGTCTAGAAGTCCAGTCTCTCGTGATCTGCATCAGGTCCAATTGCAAGTGAGGCTCCTTGTCTGTCTCTGCACTTGAACTGGAGACCTGTGAATTTAGCTGTCTCCCAGACACCTAGATTACACTAGTGAAACACAAAAAGGGTAACCACAGCAGTCTTTCCTATTCACAAAGGCAGGAAGCAAGTCACATGGTAGTTTCTGGTCCATAGCAATTCTGAAATTCAGCCAGACCAGTTGTCCTGATGATTCCTTGATTATGGTCCAGGTCTACTCCCTGGGAGTAATCTCCTGATCCATTGTTCTCAGCTTCTCTTGGCTCTGCACTACTGACTCTTCGCTCTGTCCTCTGCGTCACCCATCTTTTTCAATAAGAAATTATCTGTGGTTGTTGTAGTTGCAAAGCTTTCTCAGCCTGCTTCTTACCTGTAGAAAGTTGGAGGCTCAGAGACTATTTCAGGCCTTCTCAGTCCCTTTTATTTCAAACTGGTCATGCTTTCACCAGAACAATCTTCTTGACAATTTTGTGGGCTTTCTGTGTTATCTTATTATAATCCATTCTCTTCAACAAAGGCTGCATCCACAAATCCCTTTGAGATAGGCCCCTGGCTGCCTTGGGATATGAATCAGGGTGCTGTGGGACAAAGTCTCTAAGACTCTTAGGAACTCTTTTATTTTCTAAATGAGAGTGTCCGTGAGACACACCACCTTAAACCTTTCAAAGACCTTATCAAGGAGGTCTTTGAAATGAAGCCATTTATTACTTTGAGACTTTTTGCTGGCTGGAGATACTGTACTAGATGTTCTTTATTTCTGCTAAAAAACTAGATTTTCAGGTCAGTTCATGTCTCTCTTATTGTATCATATTCAGCTAAGAAGCCAGTCAGAACTTTCTATATCCTGCTTGGAATCTCTTTAGCCGGGTCTGCACATTCCTTGGTAGATTTCCCATTGTCCACATTAATGCAGGCAACAGTGTTACTAAACATTCCACTGCTACATAACACAGGTGATCCTTTTTCTAGCCTTTCTTAGCAACTTCACTGTTCTTCTAGGCTCCACTGACAGTCTCCTCACCACCCTTCCAATTTCCACTTGCTGCTCTTTTTCGACATCATTGCCATATGCTTTAAGTTATGTTATGGCAATACTCTACTTCCAGGTATGAATTTTTTCTATCAGTTTTGATTGCTGAATGACAAAACGCTCCAAACTCTAGTGGCTTAAAACAATCTCTTACTGTTATGATTCTGAGGATCAGCTGGGCCCAACGGAATGCAGTGGTTCTACTCCATGTGTTGCTGACTAGAATCTTCCTTTCCTACTATTCTGCAGTGCCACTAGTGTCATAAATCTAGTGAGATATATTTGCGAGTCTGTTTCTGGACTCAACTGGTTTATTTGTCTATTCTTATGCCAATACCTCATGCTCTATTTACACTAACTTTATAGTAAATAAGTCCTGATACCATGTAGAGTAAGTCTTATTACTTTATTCTTTTTCAAGTTGTCTTTGCTGTTCTTGACCCTTTGCATTTTCATACACATTTCATAATTAGTTTGTCAAACACACACACACACACGTGCACACAAACACCCCACCCCACTGCTGGGTTTTGATTAATAGATTAATTTGGTACAACTAAACATCTATATAGACGTTACTGTTACTTAGATCTCTAAAAATTTCTCTTGATAAAATTTTTAGTATTCTATGTGGAACATTTGTACCTCTGATTTAAATTGGATTTTTAAAAGTTATTATAAATGACATACTGTTTTTTAATAAAAATTTGTTGTTAGTATACAGAAATACAAATTTTTTTATGTTGACCTTGTGTATAGCAACCTTCCTAAACATGCGTTAAATCTGACAATTTACCTGTAAATTCTTCAGTATTTTCTACATACAATTATGCCACTAATAAATAATGACAGTTTTTTTCCTTTTCAATGATTATAATTTAATTTTCTTGCTTTATTACATTGGACAGAATTCCAGAACAATATTGAATAAAGATGGTAGTGGCAATTATAAGGAAAGTTTCAACATTTTACTATTAAGTTAATGTTTGCTAGTTTCTTATAATATGTCCTAATTTGGATTAGGAAGTTTCTTCTAGTTCTAGGTTGGTAAGATTTTTTTTGTTATGAATGGGAGTTGAATCTTATCAAATGCACTTTTTGTATCTACTGAGATTTTCATGATTTTCTCCTTTGTTTTATTAATGATGAGAAGTGCATTGATTTTGTAATATCAAATCAAATTTACATTCCAACTTGCTGGTGATATATTAACATTTTTAATACATTGCTGGGTTTGGTGTTCTAATATTTTGACTAGGATTTTTGGACCTATGTTTATGGTAATAAACCTATAATATTCCTCTCTTATAAGGTTCTTGTTGGGTTTTGGTGTTAAGGTTATGCTGACTTCATAGAAGGACCTGGATATAATTCCCACTTTTTCTATTCTCTGGAATAAGTTTGTTATTTCTTCCTTAAATGTTTGGTAGAAACAAATATTGGTTCCAGAAGTAGGGTGCTGCCATACCAACATCAATACATTCCAAATTATGTGACATTAACATCCAGTCTGGCAGCATGAAATTGTTATTGGAGACTTGGACAGTCAGCAATCCATGTTACCAAAAAATATGTATAAAAATATAGTCTAGAATAGCTTAAAAGGCATATTACATATGTAACGAGCTTGTACTTTATACAAAGAGGTAGAAAATGACTGTTATTAGAATGTGTTCATTTCTACTGGCTGCATTTGCCAAGGTACTACAAGAATTAAAGGAGCTCAGAAAATATTTGGCTGGTTTGCAAGCAGGAATGAAAAGGAAATCAGAGACAACCAAAAAACTCAGGGTTTTGCAAGCTTGGAAGGTGCAACTAATTCACATGTTCAACTAGTTAAGAAGCAACAGAGAAGTCCTTTGAGCGAAAAAGTCTGCTTAAAACTCTGCCTAGTGGCAAAGACCAAGTCAAGAAGAGTATGGTTGTCACACCATTGTTAGGATCTCTGAATGGAATAAGGTGGTACCCAGCAAATACTTTCACACTGGGAAAATTTCTCAAAGAGGGGAGACTTAGGGTTTGGCTCTTCCTAAGGAAAGTCTGATAGGCTCAAAGTACTTGCTATTAAATTGAGAGAGAGAGAGAGAGAGAGAGAGAGAGAGAGAGAGAGAGAGAGAGACAAGTCTCTAAACAATTGTGGCACATAGCACTGCCTGGAATCAAATAACTTGAGATAGATATTGAGAAAGCCGTGTTGTCAAAGGAGTTACCTACACGGTACAAAAGAGAATGTGATTGAGACTAAAAATGATAACTGGGTTCCAGCCTTCTACAGCAGGATCTCAGAATTGCTATGGATTAACTCTTTTATATATCGTTCTTCTCCTTTACAAATGGGAATATTTATTGCAGTTATCCTTTTCCTGTTCTACCATTATATATATTGTGTGTAGGGGCTAGTACCAGATAGCTTATCTTTTTAGTTCAGTGTTCTCTAGATCAAGAGTAGGTATATCTGGGTCTGTAGAGGCTGTTATGAATCATTTCTATCTCCTGGGATCTAAGCTCAAAATATTGATGAGATGGAACTTTGGGGTTGTCTGCTTTAAGGCGTGGATGAGTGTGTTCTGCATGTGGGAAAGGAAGGGAACTGATCCAAAGGGTGAACTGTGGTAGATTGTATTACTACCTGCGCTCTTATGTAATCCTCTCCCCTTGAGTGTGGGCCAGACGTAGTGACTTGCTTTTACCTAATAGAACAGAGCAAAAGTGATGGAATACCAGTTCTGAGGTTAGGTTACAAAGAGACTGTGGCTTCCCTCTTGTGTGCCCTCTCTTGCTTTTTCATTTGCTTCCTCTGATGGAAGCCAGCTGCCATGTGAACTGCCCTAAGGAGAAGCCCATGTGGCAAGGAAAGCAAAGGATTCCTCCACCCAACAGTCCACGAGCAACTGAATCCTGGTCACAGACACATGAATGAGCTTCAGAGCCAACACACTGATTGCAGCCTATGGGAGATTTTGAAGGAGAGGTACCTGGTATGTACTGAATTGTGTCCCCCAACCCCTAGATCCATATGTTGAAGCCCCAACCCCCGATGTGACTACATTTGGAGGTGGAGCCTATAAAGAAGTAATAAAAGTTAAATGAGGTTATACGGGGGGCCTTAATCCAATAGGACTGGTATCCTTATAAGAAGAAGAAGAAGAGATACCAGAGCACCTCCTGCACCCCACCCCGTGTGTGCTCAGAATGAAGGCCTTGTGAGAACACAGCAGGAAGACTACTGCCTGCACAACAGGAAGAGAGGCCTCACCAGAAACAACATGCTGATCTTGGACTTTCGGCCTCCAGAACTGTGAGAAAGCAAATTTTTGTTGTTCAGGCCGCCCAGTCTGTGGTGTTTTGCAGTGGCAGCCCTAGTAGACTAACAATACTGTACCCCACTAGACTGTGCTTGGATTCCCGACCCTCAGGAACTTTGAGATAATAAGAAGAGTTTGTTGTTCTGAGCTGTTAAGTTTTAGGGTAATTTGCTATGCAGCAATAGATCATTACTATATTAGCCTAACTTTTTCTTCTATATCCTCTTTGACTTATGTCCTCAAAAGCTAGGCACTGGGGTGGGGGTGGGGGGCGCCCTCTTTGAGCCCTTCAGATTCTTGCTTTCCAGAGAAAGAAAAATTCAGTATTCATGGCTGATAAAGAATCATTCCAATTTCTGAGTCATTTTGCCAGCAGAGTAAAAAACAGCTCTGGTTTGGATTCACATTTGGGTCCAGGTAGTTGAGGAGAGAATAATCGCAATGATTTAGAGTTCATGAACTCTCTGTGTATATTTGTATGGATATATATATATATATATATGAATTGCTCTAATTGTATCTATAGAAACAAATATATGTAAATGAATTGCTGTAATTCGATTATTCCTATATGGACAACATTAATATACTGGATGTTCTAGGTGTGGACGAAAATAATTTGCTGAGATGTCAGCTGGGAATTCTCCCAGGGAAAGCTTGGAAATGAAGAGCTTCCACACAAGATTCAGTGCCTGGACACCTTTTAGCAACAAGTCATTAAATTGACAGGTGAGTCACATACTCTAGAATAAGACAAGCTTTCTAAGGTGAATTTTACTGTGATATATTGGGTCTCATGTTGCCATATTTAAAATAAAATAAACACTTGTAAAGAACTTAGTTTTTGAGTCACTTTAAACAGAAATAAACCTACCCCAAAGACAGTCTCTCCTCACCCCAGTCCACGACTCCAATCTTATGGGAGGTGCAAGAGCTGCTCCCACCTTTGCCCTGTCAGCACCTCCAGAGATGAAACAGAAACCTCCAGGACACACCCTGGTTGCTGTAAGGGGGAGGAGACAAGAGAAGGTGCTTTGGTGGTATTTTGGTGTGGAGAGTGTTGATATGTTTGTTGTTTCTTTAATTCTCTCTTCCCTCTTGTGCCAACTGCATGGTTCCCTGGGGCCAGGGGATGCCCCTCCTTTGAAAGATAATGCAGGAAGTAGTCACTGGAATGGCCCAGGCAGCTCTGCCAGACCTTCATGGAAAAGGGGGCTGCCTGGGTCCTCAGAGCTCCTGCGTGGTCCAGGCGCATTCACAAGGGAAGGAGACCAGATGGGCTGGGACCAAAGCCTGACTAATAATAAAGACAGTGGGTTTATATATGTCCTGTGAGCCAAGCTGGACTGAAGTCCTGGTTTGGGGGGACGCTGGTCCTGGTGTATGTCTTTCATGGAGACGCTCCTAACAATGGCTCTTCAGCAAAATTTACTAACTTTCCTTTTGGTGGGTGCTATGAAGAGGTAGGACTATGGGTTAGTAAAATCACACCTACTTCACATGGCCCTGTTTTCACAATTAAGCAAGTAGCCAGTATGTGTTTTCAAGATGAAATGTTTGGGATCTGTTTCCCGGACCACATTAGCTTAGGTGGAAACAATAGTGAGGATCCATTACCTCTTTGGGCCCTCCTTGAGCCCCTCTGCAATTACATCCCTGCCAGCCTTTCCCACCAACCCACCCAACAAGCCTGGGCTTGCCTGCATCCCTAGATAAAAGGAGTTTAAGCTGAAGGGAGAGACCCTTACTACATATGTGAAAGTGCTTTGTGAACTGTAACGTGCAATGCAAACATTAGCTGTGAGGTTGTTAGGTTGCCTATGGATTGCTTAGCAACTAAGAACATATTGAACTGTAAAGGAAAATGTCATTTTCTCTCCCTTATTGCTCTTTCAGGAAAGAGTTGCTCTTATAAGTCATTGATTTGACCTCTGGACTAACAAGCAACATCAAGAATTCTTATTCACGATTTTTTTATGATGCACTAAATTACAATTAAGGTAAATGTAGCCTAATGATGTAATTATCTTAAAGAAAATAAAATATCATAAAATGTTCATATAACTTTTAAGAGTTTCTTTTTTTCTACAGAAAAAAAGCAACTGATTTTTTTTTTTTTTTTTTTTTGCGGTACGAGGGCCTCTCACCGTTGCGGCCCCTCCCGTTGCAGAGCACAGGCTCCAGACGCACAGGCTCAGCGGCCATGGCTCACAGGCCCAGCCGCTCCGTGGCATGTGGGATCTTCCCAGACTGGGACACGAACCCGTGTCCCCTGCATCGGCAGGCGGACTCTCAACCACTGCGCCAGCAGGGAAGCCCCAGCCAATGAATTTTTAACATTCTCTTAGTATATTAAATTCTCCTTGGAACTCTCAGACAGATAAGATATTTGAAGTAGGTACTCCGAAATATTTGTTACATGAATGAATAGATCCAAAAAATATCTGAGAAATGACAGTGGCAGCAGCATTTAGGAATATGGGCAAGATTCATATGGCAGTGGTCACTGATTGCCGTTAAGTCCTGGTTCTTCTTATTCTTTCCCTTGCATCCTATTATATCTGTAATTTATTTTAAAATACTCCAGCATGGCTGGTGTGACATGGGAAAGTGTTAGTTGAAATTACACCCAGGGGCAGCTAGTGTTCTGATCAAGAGTTAGTACTCTAGGGGTGATTAGCTAGCACTGTATTGGAAAGGTCACAGTGTTTTAGTTATACCAGACACTTTGCTAATTAGCATAGCAAATATTAGATATTAGTTATTATCAGAGCAACTAGTGGCTTGTTAACATGCTGGTTGAATGCTAGAAATGGCCTGTCTTTGGTGAAATTAAAGGTATTCAGATATGTGAACTGACCAAAATATTCCAGAGAGCCCTCTGGCATGCCTGGACCAGTCTGAAGAATCCAGCCAGGCCAGTTGGTGCTTATTAAGGATGGTTTCATCTCCAAAAAATGGCCCTGTCTGACTGGGGCTTTTCTGGTAGCCTGAGGCCACAAAAAGGATAGTAATGGAATCCTGTTTATGGAACACTGTTCTTTCTCAGTTGAATGAATCTTTCACCCAAAGGGCAGAGAGCTGGGATTTTTGTCAGGCCTACAGAGGAGGCTGTATGAAGTGGTTTGGGCTTATTTACTAAAGTTTGTTCAGTGAAACTCCAGGTAGGGATCATTTGGGGCTGCTTTCACTACAACCTGGTGGTGGGGCTTGGGGGACAGGCTAACCCTCAAACTTCTTAGATATTCACCAAAAAGTGTCAGAGTTGTGCAAGACCAAATTGGGTAATTTTAGTTTACAATACCTGCTTCTCTCAGTCTTTCTTACACTTTCACACAGTCATTTCATCTCTCCTACCTACGAACGCACCTTCTCCATTGTCAGCTTTCTCTGCATCCGTGGGGCTCCTAGTGGATTATCCCCGATGGAGTCACCAAGTCACTGGAGGGAGACAGCCATCTTCCAGGCATGTCAAAAGAGGCTGCAAAGACAGGCCACAGACAAAGAGGCTCTTCAGTCAATGCTTAAAAATCAGGAGGGGACTTCCCTGGTGGAGCAGTGGTTAAGAATCTGGCTGCCAATGCAGGGGACACGGGTTTGAGCCCTGGTCCGGGAAGATTCCACATGCCGCAGAGCAACTAAGCCCGTGCGCCACAACTACCGAGCCTGCACTCTACAGCCTGCAAGCCACAGCTACTGAGCCCACGTGCCACAACTACTGAAGCCCGCGTGCCTAGAGCCTGTGCTCTGCAACAAGAGAAGCCACCGCAATGAGAAACCCGCGCACCGCATTGAAGAGTAGCCCTTGCTCGCCGCAACCAGAGAAGAGCCCGCGCACAGCAACAAAGACCCAACGCAGCCAAAAATAAATAAATAAATAAATAAATGTATATTTTTTTAAAAAATCAGAAGGAAGGGAGATTTTTATGGTAGTCATTGGGTAGGCTTCCTTTGACTTCAATTTTGCAGCTTTCAAGATAAGAAAATAAGAGACCAAACCCTTTATCCATAATTGCTTTGTGGGCCATCCTGTTCTAGTCTCATGTATCACAAACCGAGCAATTTTAGTTGTAACCACTGGAGGTCATTAGTGATCTTGTGGTATATTTTGAGGCTCATCAATATTAGGCCTGACATTTTTTCACTGGAAACTTCATTCACTGTCTGGCACCTGAATTCTTCTTTCTGTGGGAGAAGGATATGGAACTAACCTGTTAAGTGAAATTACGCTGCTTTGTTTGACAGCAGCTGTGTTTCTGCAGAGTTATGTGTATTTCATAGTCCCATGAAGCTGTTATTACATGTTCTGGGCTACTAATTTCGGGGGAAGTTGTTTGTCAATTTCTGGTCTCTGGGTTTGGCATCCTGAAACCAGGATCTTTAATTTGTAGTGGTGGTTTTTGTTGTTGAACATCAATCAGGTCATTCCCCACAGTCTGGATGAAGTCTTTCTTACATGACTTCCTGCCATCTCTTTTGGTCAGCCATTTCTTCCCTCTTACTGACAGCTGAAGACACCATGTGCAGATGGTCTAATCCAGTTTGAGCTGTGCTTGATTTTAACCCAATCTAAAAGCCCAACTTATTTTCATTTTTAGCCTAAAGTTAATGCAATAAAATTTTAAAGTATATTTATTGAGATGTAATTCACATACATAAAATTCATGCATTTAAAGGACACAGTTCAATGGTTTTAGCAGGGGTCCCCAAGCTTTTTGGCACCAGGGACCGGTCTCGTGGAAGACAGTTTTTCCAGGGTTGGGGGGGTGGTGTTTCAGGCAGTAATGTGAGCGATGGGGAGCAATGGGGAGCGGCAGATGAAGCTTCGCTCACTTGCCCTCCGCTCACCTCCTACTGTGCGGCCTGCTTCCTAACAGGCCGTGGACTGGTACCGGTTGGTGACCCAGGGGTTGGGGACCCCTGGTTTTAGTACATTCACAGAGCTGTGCAACCACCACCACAATTTAAGTTTAGAACATTTTCATCACCCACAAAAGAAACCCCCTATCTATTAGCAATCACTCCCCATTCCAATCCCCCTCAATTCCAGCCCTGCACAACCACTAATCTATTTTATTTCTCTATAAATTTGCCTATTCCAGACTTTTCATGTAAATGGAATCATACAATATGTGGCCTTTAGTTCACCTGTTTTATAGCATATATCAAGACTTTCCTTTTTATTGCCAAATAATATTCCATAGCGTGGGTATGCCACATTTTATTTATCCACTCATCAGTTGGTGGAGATTTGGGTAGTTGCCACATTTTGGCTACTGTAAGTAATGCTGCTATGAACAACTGTGTACAAGTCTTTCTATATGGATGCTTTACTTCTTTTAGGTATATAACTAGAAATGGAATTGCTGCATCAAATGGTAGCACTGCAATCAACTTTTAATTATTAAGTGTTTTTTCTGAATTATATTTACTCCTCTAGTCCCTGTTCCCCCATAACTATGAATAAGCTTGTGAATAAAAGAGAGAATTTAGCATTATTCGAATGCCTGAAATCTTTGCATGTAAGCTCAGCTATATTTGTGCGATACCTTGCTTTTCAGACAGAGAAGCCATTGTTTTAGATGCTTTGTTTTATAATTTCTGAATAACTTTGTTTTAATTCAGGCAGTTATAAAGCTTAAACAGGATATTGAAGTACCAGTCAGAAATATGTTGTCACAGTTTTCATTAAAAGTTTCTTCTTAATCTCTATGAGATATATTCAAATATCTAAGATTTTTCTTTTCTATCCTAATAAATATTCCATATTGTTAAGACTTTGGAAATTTTCTTAAATGGAGTTTTATAATATTTAAGACATTTTTCAAAGGTTCATCTTCTTAAACCTTCCCTCTGGCAAGTTCTCCCTCTCACTTCAACTTAAATGTCACCTCCACTGGGAAGCCTTTCCTGCTCATCTTTCACCCCCATCATTTGTACAAACCTCTATCGTGGCATTTTCCCTGTACATTATGCTTATCTGTCCACACGTCTGACGGTTTCCAGTGGTGTTGTCCCCCTGCCACTTGAGTAGGCTGACCTTTCCTGTGACTCCTTAAAGGAAACTGGGCTGTTTGTGTCTGCCACACTTGAAGAAACCTATGAGAAGATTGAATCAGTCTCCTAGTCACACTGGTGGGACCGGTTTCAAACTGCTTCTGTTCAGCAAGAGGTAATGCCTCCTACAAAGGCCTTTCATTACAGGGCTGGAGCTGTTCAAACTTGTAGCTTTTCCTGGTAGGTGGGGCAACATTCATGATTCATGTAACTGCAGTCCTAAGACATGGATGGAGTGTGTGTGTGTGTGTGTGTGTGTGTGTGTGTGTGTGTGTGTGTGTGTAGGGAGAGGGAGATCACCACCGAACGATTAGCTCTTCTTGCTTGGAGGGCAGAAAAACGTACCAAAAAACATACCAACCCATGTATAGTTAAGAGGGAACAACGCTGTCCCGCACTCTCGCCGCAGTACACCCAGCCCGTCTTCCCTGCAGCCCCTGGGAGGGCTCAGTTGAGGATGTTTATCTCGATTGTAATTTCTGAGGAAATCTGGTACATAAATTTTTCAGAGACAACACACTTCTAGATTATCCTTAAATATAGAACAGCTACATCACGCTGAGTTACTGACGTCCATGTGAAAGGACATTTTTGTGTGGAGGTGGTGGAGGGGAGAGGGGAGTATTCAGAGACCCATTGTTTTCTAAGTATCCAAGACAGGTCTGGAAACGTGGGTCATCCTGACTCTTCCCTCCCCTCAGCCCCATATTCTGGACATATTTCTGTCCTTTCACATAGATCAGATGGTCGTGGGCAACCACATATAATATTAGCATTTGCTGTTGGGTGGCTTTTAGGGGTGGATGAAGCTAAGAAAGGAAATCCTGGAGTTTGAAAGGAGAAGCCAAACCCCGAAGCTGTTTTACTGGGTGGAGGTGGGGACAGAGGGAGAGTGGGTGGTAGGACGGTCACTGGCTTACATTAGGCAAAGCCCCTGCACTTC